AAACTTGGGCAGAATGTAAAAGTGCACCGGGGGCAAATTAAACATTTTGGGTACATCTGTACAATAGGGTATTAGGCAAATACTTAAAAAATGAGATAGATCTATATGTGCCTAAAGATCTCCAAGATACTTACAAGTAAAAAGACCAATATTTATCACAATTGTCTAAAGTGGGTTCATTTATATAAAAATGAGGGCGATTTTATATACACTCATACATCTGCAGCATGGGCACAGGATATTTCTGGAAGCCCACTATGATACATATGAAACGGACAATGGTGGTTGCCTCCAGGGAGAGGGTGGAGAGTATGAGAGCCACTTAATTTTCATTACATAGTCCCTTTGAACTTTTAGATATCTTTTTTTTCTTTTTTGACACAGAGTCTCGCTCTGTTGCCCAAGCTGAAATGCAATGGTATGATCTCGGCTCAGTGCAACCTACGCCTCCCAGGTTCAAGTGATTCTCCTGCCTCAGCCTCCCAAGTAGCTGGGATTACAGGCACCTGCCACCACGCCCAGCTAATTTTTGTATTTTTAGTAGAGATGGGGTCTCACCATGTTGGCCAGGCTGGTCTTGAACTCCTGACCTCAAGTGATCCACCCGCCTCAGTCTCCCAAAGTGTTGGGATTATAGGCAGGAGCCACCACACCTGGCCTAGAATGTCTTAAGAACACTATGTGCATATAATTTTTTTGCAAAAATAACCAGTGAATTAGAAAATTTTTTTAATTAAGCAGCTTAAATATGGCCTCCAGGATGAAGGCCTTGAGATGGCCTTAGAACCCCATGTGGCTTGACCCTTGAAGGAGGTGGACTGTTTTTAGAAAGCAAACTGCTCTCTGGGTGCTAGGCAGAGGCAGACAACAGAAACACAATAGTGTGTCCTCCCCTTCTAGCAAATGTGCTTTGAGCTCTCAGGCCTTCCCTCCCCTACTGTTTCTTAAGATATGGCTACAAAACCATGTGCCCTAAAGCTCTGAAGGAAAAGGCCAAATCATAAAGGGGATTGCTGGAGTATTATCCAACTTGTAAAAGCTTAAAATAGTGTCCATGAGGTTCCTGAACTGATAGTGGTTTAAGAGGCCTGCCCCCGAGGACTTGGCAGCCAGAGGGCCCGCTTTGTAAAAGCCGTGAGAAGCGGCCTCTCAGGGTTGCTGTTGCTCTCCTGACAGCAGAGCAAACACCTCACCTTGTGAAAACGACAAGCCATTTCCACACAGGGTGTACTCTCTCCCACATCTGTGGTAGCAGCACTTTGGCAGCTCAGCTTCCCAGAGCTGCCAGCTGTGTTCCGAGCCAGACCAACATGCCAGGGCCAGTTTGGGTAGTGATCAGAAAAGAGCAGCTTCCCTAAAGTGAAACACATACACACATCCTCTAGCTTGGCAGGGCCCTTTGTGGAAATCTGTTCTGAGACAGTGCCATTGTTCACTTTCCTGACACTTGCCATGTCCAAGGCAAGGGAGAGGATGTCAGAAGAAGATCCAGACCAAACCCCTCTTGCACAACTTGTCATTGGACAAATCGGAGAACTGAGGCCCTAGAGAGGCCTCAGTAGACCACTGTAGACTGGTTTTCCCCAGGATATGGTGTCAGAGTTGGGACTAGTCCCCAGGGTGTGCCTTGTCCCACGGCTATTTTTTGTCATCCTACTCCTCCTGTAAGACATGGTCCCTGTGCACACATAGCTTACAGACATTTAAAAAAAGTGACAGCACAAAACATCACATGCCAAGAACCTAACGGTGGTTTCTTCATTGAATAGGCATCCAGAGGAAGGAACAGTCACCAGGGGCCTCATGGAAGGAGAAGGCACCAAGCAGGGGACAGTGGGAGGCACACACAAGCAGGGTGAAGGCTGGCGGTGGAAGCAAAAGTGTGTGGGGCACTGAGAGAAGGGCGTGATTAGTAAGACTGGGACAGTGGCTGAAAGAGCAGCTTCTGAAGAGAAAGACAGGGAGGTGGAGGAAGGGCAGGAACCAATTGCCAGGCCAATGCTGGAATCTTGACTGTACATGGAAGCCAAGTCAGTAGAGGCTCTGGACCTCTGCTTGGGAAAGATCAGACAACCAGTGTGTAGGATTGTTTCTAGGAGGCAAAAAGATCCCAATTAAAGCCCAGTTTTTAAAAAGTGTTAATAGGAAAGTGCCAAGGACTTGGACTCAGGAATTGGCAGCAAGTTCGGAAAGGAAAGAGATAGGACATTGAAGAGCTGGTCACTGGCAGAATGCTAAGAGAAAATAAGTGAGATAATTAATTAATTTTTAAAAGTATAAGCTAATTTTGTCTGTTACAAACACAATTAGCTAAAGGCAAAAAAAAGATGAAAATTTCTTCTAAAAATGTTACTCCAAAGTTGTCTTTCTTAAAAGCAGATCTGACAAGGAATACTACCTTGCCTGAAACCTTTCAGTAGTTCTCTCAAGGCACAAACACCCTTGCGTCACTTAAAAGGCCCTGTGTGATGTGACCGCCTCCTATTTCTGAAGTCTCGGGTTACCAGTCATAAGAAATAACTAGCAGGTTCCAAAATACACCAGTCCTCCTTGCCAGCACCTCCCTACCTGGAAAATACCACACGTCTCTCAGGACTCAGCTCTTGTGTCCCTTCATCACCTGTTTAGTGTGACCCTAAAGGCTTCATTGCCTCCTCCCCAAGACAGAAGCAGTTTCAGCCTTTCCTTTGCATATCCAGTGACCTCTGTCCTTGAGGACAAGCAGATAGTACAGCTTGGTTCACATTAGAAATGGGGCTAGGCGTGGTGGCTCATGCCTGTAATCCCAGCACTTTGGGAGGCCAAGGTGGGAAGATCACTTGAGGTCAGGAGTTTGAGACCAGCCTGGCCAACATGGTGAAACCCTGTCTCTACCAAAAATATACAATTAGCCAGGCGTGGTGGCACACACCTATAATCCCAGCCACTCGGGAGACTGAGGCAAGAGAATTGCTTGAACCTGGGAGGTGGAGGTTACAGGGAGCCAAGATTGGGCCACTGAGTTCAAGCCTGGGTGACAGAAGGAGACTTGGTCTCAAAAAAAAAGAAGACAGAAAGAAACAGAGAAAGAAAGAGAGAGAGAGAAAGAAAGAGAGACAGAGAAAGAAAGAAAAGAAAAGAAAAGAAAAAAGAAAAGAAAAGAGAAAAGAGAGAGACAGGTTGAAGGTTGAGCAGGGTAGTGAATCACTCACTGGCTGGGGGTTGAGAGGAGTCTCCGGCTCCTGCCCCTCTGCCTCCCCAACAATGTTAACTATTTCTCTTACCTCGCAAACTCCAGTGCCCACCATGTTGCAGCCAGGGCTGAGGAGACAGTGCAGGTTGTGAGGCCTTTGGGAACCCTGGAGGAATAGGTTGTTAAGGTCGCTTCTACAGCAGTGTGAGCCTCTTCCTCCTCCTTTTGCTCAGGAGAAGACACAGCTGCCCTTGGACAGGCTCCTGATAGACTGGTCCATGCCTGAAGATCCTGAACCCCTGGTCATCAGTGAAGTCCTTCATCAAGTGACCCCAATTGTCAGACGTCCCCACTGCTCCAACTGGCCACAAAGGGGAAAAGGAATCCAAGGTCACCAGGCCTCAGAGAAAGACATGATGCACAGTGCCTCAAGCCCACCACCTCCAAGAGCTCTCCTAGCTGAAAGCAGACAACTGGTGGATCTGTACAAGGTGCTGGAGAGCAGGGGTTCCTACCCAAAGCCAGAAAACCCAGCCAGTCCCTGGACGGTGCTCCCAGCGGGCAACCTTCCCACCCACGATGGCTACTTACCCTCCAACATAGATGACCTCCCCTCACATGAGGTGCCTCTCACTGACTCTCTGGAAGAACTGGAGCCTCAGCACATCTCCCTTTCTGTTTTCCCCTCAAGTTCTCTTCACCCACTCACCTTCTCCTGTGGTGATAAGCTGACTCTGGATCAGTTAAAGATGAGGTGTGACTCCCTCATGCTCTGAGTGGTGAGGCTTGGAGCTTTAAAGTCAGTGTGCCCCCAACCAGCACAGCCTGTCCCAATTCCCCCAGCCCCTGCTCCAGCGGCTGTCATCTCTGGGTACCGCCATCAGTCTGGCTACAGCTAGAGGACAGTCAAGCCAGCTCTGGGGGAGTCTTAGGAACTGGGAGTTGGTCTTCACCCAGATGCCTCATCTTGCCTTTCCCAGGGCCTTAAGATGACATCCTTCACTGTGTGGACCTAGAGACTCCAATGTGAATTCCTAGTAAATTTCTTGGTATGCTGGCCAGAAAGGGAAATGAGGAGGAGAGTAGAAACCACAGCTCTTAGTAGTGGCATACAGTCTAGAGGACCATTCATGCAATGACTCTTTCTAAAGCACCTACTACACAGCAGGCTGTACACAACAGATCAGTACTGTTCGACAGAACTTCCTGAGACGATGGAAATGTTCTACCTCTGCACTCACTGTCCGATACATTAGACACTAGGCACATTGGCTGTTAATCACTTGGAATGTATTTAGCCTGACTGAGGAATTAAATTTTGATTGTAAATTTAAATCACCACACATGGCTACTGGCTACTGTATTGGAGAGCACAGCTCTAGATGGCTCCTAGATTATTAAGAGCCTTCAAAACAAATCAACGTAGTTCTACACATGAAGACATAAAAGACACTGGTAAACACCAATGTAAAAGGGCCCCCAAGGTGATCATGACTGGTCTTATTTGTAGAAGTCTAAGAATGTACCTTTTTCCAGCTGGGTGCGGTGGCTCACGCCTGTAATCCCAGCCGAGGCAGGCAGATCACAAGGTCAGGAGATCAAGACCATCCTGGTTAACATGGTGAAACCCTGTCTCTACTAAAAATACAAAAAAAAAAAAAAAAAAAAATTAGGGCATGATGGCAGGTGCCTGTAGTCCCAGCTACTCAGGAGGCTGAGGCAGGAGAATGGCATGAACCCGGGAGTGGGGCTTGCAGTGAGCCACTGCACTCCAGCCTGAGCAACAGAGCAAGACTCTGTTTTTGTTTTTGTTTTTGTTTTTTAAAACAAACAAACAAAAGAATGTGCCTTTTTCCTAGTTTTGCTGGTTTATTGTTTTATTTTGGCTTCATCCTCTTCCAGCAAATCAAGGGCATCTGGATAGTGAAGACCTACCGTAAACTCACCATAGTACCATAGTACCTTGGGCAACCCAGCCTCCCCCTCTGAATGTCGGGTGTCTTGTAAAGGGCAGGTACAAAGGCTCTCTGACCCCTTGTTTCCTCTTTTTGTTGCAGCAGGCCCTGCCTTTAGGACCAGGGCTGTCTCAGGGTCTAAGACCCCAGACTCCAAGGTTGTCCTCAGAAGTTGTCTGTCCCCTGTTCCCAAAGGCACAGCTTTCAATTCCCGAGAAGATTTTGAGCTGGTCCTCTGCGAGCTCAAGTTGAGCCTGGAAGATAACTCTCTTTTCCACAGCATGGACTTGGAACATGATCCATGTTTTGCTCTTTAAAACTGTGGCCCCTGGCTTGCCACCCTCCCTGGCCCATTGCTGCCTCTGTCTCTTCACCTTAGGCAGTTTTGCCTAACTAGTGGAGAAAAGTCTCGGTCTAAACTGCTAATAGTGCTCTTCCCTAAAGAACAAGATAAAAGATCCAAAAAACTTTTCCTTAAATTCCTGTCAAGCCTGGGGTCTACCCCCTACCCCTTCCCACATGAACATTGGAACTGAGATGGTTTCTCCATCATCCTCTGGATTTTCATTTAGCAAAGTACTTGTTGCAAATGTGTTCTTCTTCCCTAATGTGCGGAACTAGAAACTTGTCCATACATACCCCAGTCCTGTAGAAATAACTGTTCTTGGGCTTTAGGTTTTCCAGATTTCCCTCAGAGCTCTAGAAATTGAGTGATGGACAGTTGCTCTGCTTCTGCGGGTTGAAACTCTTGATATGTCCTTGTTTCCTGCAATTCCAAACTTAACACCTATAGTTTTCTCAGGCTTTTTTTGAAAAGTTCCTTCCTTTCTATTTCTATTCCACTCTATTTAGCTATTATTGTGCGGCACCCCCAGTGGTTCCTTTCCTCTCAGCATCACTGTAGCTTGCCTGCACCCAGGACATGCCCTTGACTGGCACAAACCGTGACAGATAAGGCCACCTCCTCAGAAGCAGAACAACCTATTATCTTTTGGCAATGGGAGCTAACTTCACTGTTTTCTTACAATACCCGGTTTTTCCTATCTTTGGTTTCTTTTTGATTACCTCTCATCCATCTCAGTCACTCTTCTCCTCCCCTCCCTTGTGTCTACAATACCCCATTTTACCAAGTCTCCCATTTAACCTCCCCATCCTTTTCTTTCCCTTAAAGTCTCATATGATACTGCAGTCCTCATTTGTCTTCCCCCACCAAAAAAAAATTTTTTTTTTAAAGAATCCTTCCTTGACTCTTAAAGACTCCTAGGGATGCTGAGGCCTCCTCAGCATGATTTCCATATACATTTCTCTGTTGGACTACAGACAACTTGAAAGCAGGAACTTTGGCAATGTTTCCCCAGCACCATCATGCCTGGTCCATAGTAGCTACCAATAAAAAAGTAAGCATCGTAAACCCAAAAGTATCTGAGAAAGGTCTCAATTAATTTAAAAAGTTTTTGTTTTGCCAAATAACACATGACACAGCCTGAGAAGGTCTGGAGGACATGTGCCCAAAGTGGTTAAGGCACAGCTTGGTTTTACACATTTTAGGGAGACATAAGACATCAATCAACATATGTAAGATGTACATTGGTTGGGTCTGGAAAGGCAGGATAACTCAAAGTGGGGGCTTCCAGGTCATAGGTAAATAAGAGACAAAAGGTTGCATTCTTTTGGGGTTTTGATCAACCTTTTACTAAAAACATAACTTACATGTGAGAAGGAGGTAGCTCAGGTGAACAGAGGGATGACTCTGAGTTCTGTCTATTCTTTGTCCCATGCCTGTGAAGATCAGCTATGGTGAAATTCAACAGAACTGTTTTAGAGTAAAGATCTTGAAGTCCTCGTAGGCAAATCGTGAGGAAAGTATGCAGTTTTTTGGGGGGAAGAGGGGAATAAAATGGGAGGCAGGTTTGCCTGATGCAGTTCCCAGCTTGGCTTTTCCCTTTGGCTTAGACTGATTTTCTTTTCGCAGCAGCATCACCTGCCACTGCTTTGTCTTATTCTTTCTATTCCAGAAGCCAGCTCATCTGTGCCCATTTCCTCCTTATTGGAACAATTGTTTGCATTCATTCATTTTCCTTCCCAAACCCCATTCTCTCCCATTTGTTGACAGCACCACTGTGATGCATGGAGGGATGTTTCTGGTTTTAAAGACGTATTTGAGCATGTCTTTGGCAGCTCAGTCTGCCAGATATGGTGTCCTCTTTCCATGAATGACAGAGGATGGGTAACTCTGTTCTGCCATTGCCCCAAGTGGTTTTCACAATCTGCCCTTCTCCCCGCTGCCTCCCACCACTAGTAAAAACCCCAAACCAAGTTGCTGGGTTCACCAGGTCTAGGTGATACTCACCAACATACAGCCAGGCTTTCATTCCTCAGGAAAATTATCAGTAATTTTGTGGTCTTATAATGATATATATTGGTTTCCATCCACGGTTGCTGGCTCATGATGTCAGAGGTGTTTGAACCACAGTGACTCCATCTTGAAGAGAGGCTGGGTAAAATAAGGCTGAGACCTACTGGGCTGCATTCCCAGGAGATTAGGCATTCTTAGTCACAGGATGAGATAGGTTGGCATAAGGTAAAAGTCACAAAGGCCCTGCTGATAAAAGAGGTTGTGGTAAAGAAGCCAGACAAAACCCACCAAAACCAAGATGGTGACGAAAGTGACCTCTGGTCATCCTCACTGCTCATTATATGCTAATTATAATGCATTAGCATGCTAACAGACGCTCCCTCCACAACAGTTTACAAATGCCATGGCAACATCAGAAAGTTACCCTATAGGTTCTAAAAAGAGGAGAAACTCACAGCTCTGGGAATTGCCCACCCCTTTCCTGGAAAACTCATGAATAATTCACCTCTTGTTTAGCATATAATCAAGAAATAACTCAGGTCATGCATGGTGACTCACGCATTTTGGGAGGCAGAGGTGGGTGGATCACCTGAGGTGTCAGGAGTTCCACATCAGCCTGGCTAACATGGTGAAACCCCATCACTACTAAAAATTCAAAATTAGCCAGGCATAGTGGCATGTGCCTGTAGACAGGAGAATCGCTTAGAACCGGGAGGCGGAGGTTGCAGTGAGCCGAGATTGCACCATTGCACTCCAGCCTGGTCAACAGAGTGAGACTTTGTTTCAAAACAACAACAAAAACTGTAAGTATACTCAATTGAGCAGCCCATACCGCTGCTCTATGGAGTAGCCATTCTTTTATTTCTTTACTTTCTTAATAAACTTACTTTCACTTTACTTTATGGATTCACCTCAAATTCTTTCTTGCTCAAAATCCAAGAATCCCTTCTTGGTGTCTGGATGGGGACTCCTGTCCCATAACAGTAACTCCCATAGCCCTCCTTAGTTTTTTGCTATGTTGGGTGTGTCAGGCCTCAGGGGCTGGCCTCTGACCTTCTCCTACCCTCCTTTCACTCTAACATTCCCCTGCCTTTCCAATTGTGGGTCTTAAGACCCTCCCATGAGACAGTCCTACCCATACTCTGGGAGAAGGAATGCTGATGTCATGAAACTTCCATAAAAACCCAAGAGGGCCAGGCATGGTTGGCTCACACCTGTAATCCCAGCACTTTGGGAGGCCGAGGTAGGTGGATGACTCCAGGCCAGGAGTTTGAGACCAGCCTGGCTAATATGGCGAAAATCCCATTTCCACTAAAAATACAAAAATTAACCAAGCATGGTGGCACATGCCTATAATCTCGGTTACTTGGAAGGCTGGGGCAAGAGAGTCGCTTGAACTCAGGAGGCAGAGGTTGCAGTGAGCCAAGATCATGCCACTGCACTCCAGCCTGGGCGACAGGGCAAGACTGTCTTAAAAAACAACAACAAAAAGCAAAACCCAAGAGGACTGGATTCAGAGAGAATCCAGATAGCTGAACATGTGGAGATTCCTGAAAGGTGGTGCATGGAAGTTCCATGCCCCTTCCCCCATTCCTTGCACTACATATCTCTTTATCTGTATCCTTTGGAATAAACCAATAAAGGTTGTTTCCCTGAGTTCTGTGAGCTGCTCCAGTAAATTAAACCCAAAGAGGGGGCTGTGGGAACCTCAACTTGAAGCTGATCGGTCAGAAGTTCCAGGGGCTAGACTTACAACTGGTAGGGATGGAGCAGTCGGGGACTGAGCCTGGAACTTGTGGGATCTGACACTATCTCTGGATTCCCAATACCCAGAATAGTGTTGGCACTGAATTAGAGGACAATAAGATGACGTCCACTGCTTGGTATGTGGGGAAACACCTCCCGACATCCACTATCTGGTCACAGACGTTGCTTCTGTATTTAGTTGTGGTCTGAGAGTAAAGCCCAGCTAATTTTTGTATTTTTTGTAGAGATACGGTTTCGGAGTGTTGTTCAGGCTGGTCTCAAACTCCTAAACTCAAGTGATTCACCTGCCTCGGCCTCCTCAAGTGCTGGGATTCCAGGTGTGAGCCACCATGCCTAGCCCTTCAGTTCTTAATGAATTCATGGAAATCGTCACCATCAACTGTGAGATCTTCACTATGAATATCTTTGAAGGACCCCTCTTTCCCTGAAGCCAGAGATTTTATTTTCTGAGTTTCTATCTACCTCATAGGCAAGAGGAAAATTAAACTAGTGTTAGTTTTTTTCTCTTCCTTCTTCTCTTCACATTGTCCCAATTTTTCAGCTTCCATTAATAGCCTTTCAGCTTCAGCATTAATTCACCAATCCCCTGAGACCTGTGAAAGCAATGCCAAACTAGACATTCTATTATAGTCAGCTCCCCATGTACGATTCTTGGTTTTTCTCCACCAGGTTCTACTCTTTTTAGCCATCTAATGCAGTTGTCGCCTGTCCCAATAGCACCACTCAAGCCCTCCAAAGGAGGCATGTTTTCCTCTTCCTAACTTGCAGGACTCATGGAAGTTCACATTATCTACCTTTAGGCTGTTAGGTCAACCCTCATGAGTAAAGCACCTCTCAAGAGATAGGAGAGTCTTCCTCCCACCCTAGAAAAAGATAAGCAATTCAATCAATCTGCTGGCTGATGGAAACAAATTGGATCATTACATCACAGCCTAATTAGAATGAATTTCCAAAATAGATTAAAATTAAAGCCTTGCAAAACTCTCTTTCTCTCTCGCTCTCTCTCACACACACGCAAATATTTGCAACAGGTCAGGCATGGTGGCTCATGACTGTAATCCCAGGACTCTGGGAGGCCGAGATGGGCGGATCACTTGAGATCAGGAGTTCGAGACCAGTCTGGCCAACATGGAGAAACCCTGTCTCTACTTAAAAAAAAAAAAAAAAAAAAAAAATTAGCTGGGCATGGTGGTGAGCGCCTGTAATCCCAGCTACTCAGGAGGCTGAGGCATAAGAATCACTTGAACCTGGGAGGTGGAGGTTGCAGTGAGCCAAGATTGCACCACTGCACTCCATCCTAGGCAATAGAGTAAGACTCTATCTCAAAAAAATAAAATAAAATAAAATAGAAATGAAAATAAAAATAAATAAAAATCAGGAGTGTAAGTTGGCCCCTTTGTGGAGGGCAGATGGGCAATATTCAATAAAATCTGAATAAGCAACTCCACTCCTACACTATAGCCCAAGGAACAGTATAATTATATTAAATTGAATATAGGATTCCTCAACAGCATTTGATTTTATAAAATGGTGAGGGGCAGGAAGTGAGGGGAAAAAGCCTTAAATTCCCTTTGGTAGAGACCTGGTTAAATCATGACATATCTGTACAATGAAACACTGAATTTCAAGGAATCTAAGACTCCACCAGTTTTAAGACATCTTATTAGTTTATGTCCTCAGTAGAAAAAAATGCCAATAAAACTATAATATGCCACTGATATCTATGATGCACAATTTTTTTAACATATTAATATGCCTGAAATTTGGGATGTATCTTAGAATTGATAAAAAGCATTCTGTGCAGTTTTTCTGTTTTGTTTTTAGTATAAGAAAGACTGGGTGCAGTGGCTCATGCCTTTATTCCCAGCTCTTCAGGTGGCCAGGGCCGGAGGATCACTTAAAGCCAGTTCAAGATCAGCCTAGGCAACAACATAGCAAGACCCCATTTTTGTAATTTTTTTTTTTTTTTTTTTAGCTGGGTATGGTGCCTTATGCCTGTAGTCCCAGCTACCTGGGAGGCGGAGGCAGGAGGATCACTTGGGCAAGAGTGAGACCCTGTCTCTTTTTTTTTTTTTTTTGAGACATAACCTTGCTCCGTCGCCCAGGCTAGAGTACAGTGGCATGATCTTGGCTTACTGCAACCTCCACTTCCCGGGTTCAAGCGATTCTCCTGACTCAGCCTCCCGAGTAACTGGGATTACAGGTGCCCAAGACCATGCCCGGCTAATTTTTGTATTTTTAGTAGAGACGGGGTTTCACCATGTTGGCCAGGCTGGCCTCGAACTCCTGACCTCGTGATTCACCCGCCTCGGCCTCTCAAAGTGCTGGGATTAAAGGAATGAGCCACTATGCCTGGCATACCCTGTCTCTTTAAAAAAAAAAAAAAAAAAGTATATCAATATTTGACATGGAAATGGTGATTTACAAAAGGCTGAATATTTGTAATGACATCTGGAAAAAAATAAAAAGTAAAGAAAGGCTGAACAGAATCATTTCACTTTTGTAAATCAATGCAAAAAATCGTAAAGACTATACATCAAAATGCTAACCATGGTTATCTCTAGCCATAGTTTTTAATTAAAGTTTTGCATTCTTTTAATCACACCTATTCACTACTCTTGCAATTGGAGACTCAATAAAATATTACCAATTTCTTTTCAAAGACCTGGGATACTGGGTCTAGAAACAGATACTACTGACTACTTTCTTCGTGGCCCTGGCCCATGTTTCTTTTGCCCTCTGCCTTCTGTGTTTGGCACTCGCATTGACCCTTAGTGCTTCTGTCAGACCAAGAAAAGGCAAAGCACACGATACAATCAAGTGATGTGGGGATGGGAGCGTTAAGGTAGTAGTTAAGGTAACGTCTTTGAAATCCAATTTATGTATAGGCCAGGCGTGGTGGCTCACACCTGTAATCCCACCACTTTGGGAGGCCGAGGCAGGAGGATCACTTGAGGTCAGGAGTTCGAGACTAGCTTGGCCAACAGTGAAACCCCATCTCTATTAAAAATAATAATAATAAAAAATTAGCTGCGCGTAGTGGCACATGCCTGTAATCCCAACTACTCAGGAGGCTGAGACAGGAGAATCACTTGAACCCGGGAGGCAGAGGTTGCAGTGAGCCAAGAACGTGCCACTGCACTCCAGCCTGGATGACAGAATGAGACTCTGTCTCGAAATAAATAAAAATATAATAAGCCAATTTTCGCCAATTCCTATTCTAATAGGAATTGTTAATTATAATCAATAACACTACTTAGTGCATAGAGTTTTTAAGGACTGTAAATCAGTTCTTACCACCTCACAGATGAGGAAACAGATACAAAGGTTAAATAACAATGGAATTCACATAACTAATACCTTACACCAGAGGCTAGTTTCAAAGCATAACTTTTAAATACTCTCGAATTCCATTCTATGCAAATACTGTACAAGTTTACATCAATTGGGATTCTCACTGTAGTTGACTGTAACTGTGATTCTGTACAAATCTTTGAAGTCTCCAAAAAACCTTTGAAATAAACTCAGACCAAAAAAAGTTATTTTTACGAGGCAACCCAAAACTGGTGTTTCCATACTTCTGAAGTTCTAGTTCATTCTTGTTTCTTCAGAAATCAACCTAAAAAAACAGATAAATTTAAAAACAAATTGACACTAGGACAAATCTGGCACTCTTGAATTTGCTAACTTACCTACCCAACTAATCTAAATCCTGTAATATAAGGCACAGGTAGGCCACGAAAAAGGAAGTACCACTCCTTGAAAAGAACTATTTGAAGTAAACTGGTAAATGGAGTATTTTAAGTCATTAATAAAAACATTCTCTTTTGAACAGGAAGTAACCAGAAAATACGCTCTTCCCTCTTCTTTAACTGAAATATCTAGAACTCCACCCAATTTACTTGACTTTTTCTAAAAATAAAGGCTATTTCTTAAAACAAAAAGGAATTAAGGCTGTATTTAACTCAGTTTTGTTGCTGAGCTGTTGAAACACAAATAAGTGCCTTTCCTTCATTCTGTGGTAATTGGCTCCATACTTTGCTAGTGGTCACTTCTTCTTTACAAGTGTCAAAACTATTCTAAAGTTGGCTCCTCTGAGACTTCCATCACCTCACTAAGATACAAACCTATCATATGCTGCCAAAGGGTCCCTATAGGTCAATTCAGGCCTCTTTTCAAGTTCCACAACTTTAAGGAATTCTTCCATCAAGAGACTTTGGCAGTGCCTATGCAAGACTATGACAGGTGAGGTTCAAGACACCTTCCAATTTCAGGTGTTTTACCACCTATAGGTAATAGGACCCAAAGAAACACTTCAAGTAAGGGCAGAACACCCACTGACCCTCAGGGCATTTTCACTAGTTAGAAAAACTGTAAAAACACTTACAAAATTGGATGAAAATCAGTAACACAGAGCATTTCCTTCTTTTCACAACACTTGTTTCCGAAGTTTTTTTTTTTTTTTTCCAACTCTCATACTTAAATTGACTGGATTCCTTTGCCTTCCTGTAAACACTTGTCTCTTTAGTTTACAGCCTCTAATCTGTCTTTGGCAGAGTAGCTTTCAGAGTAGCTGTAGAGATGGCTTAAAAAGAATTACACCCACTTTTAACCTGCTTGTGAGATTAAAATAATTTGCAAGGATAATCAGTAAGTCATTTCATCAGCTACAGCTGCAATCTTAAAGTCAAATTTTTTTGCCTAAAAATCTGCAGTTATTTTTAAGGTTTAATAACCCTAAGTAGCAAGAGATTGATGATTTTGAAAAAAGTAAACATCCATGCTCTCCCGTAACTGAGAAGTGCTGGTTAAATTCTTCAATGAACGATTTATTGGAAGTTTTCTCTTAATAAACTGTCAATTTCCTCCTGAAGAGAACCTCTCCTGTTGTTTGTATTTTCACTTAGAAGTACTCAGCATACAAAGTATTTCTTAATTCAACATGACTTCCAGCTCTAGCATTTGACTGGAATGCTAGAGAGGTCAGTCCAATTGTTAATACTGGATTGTGTATCAACAAAATCTACTGAATTTTGTTGATATACTGTGACTAAGTGCCACTCCATCTTCAACGTATACTGTTAGGAACAAAATACAGAGGTCTGAAGCACACACAATATCCCTGCCACATGTATTGATTTGCCTGTGAATAGTGACCAATGAACATCTGCCTTAAGAAAAGCTTTATCCAATCCAGGCTTCCCATACATTTTTCAGAAGATCCTGATTTAGGCTTTAGCACCTAAGTAAAGGCTTGGCAAATATGCAAGAAATATGCTACAAAGCTTAGAACACAAAATCAAATTAAAACCAAATTATCTGTAGTTGTTAAAGTTCTTTTTATTAAAAAAGTGGAAGTTTCATTAGAAATTCTGAATATTGATCAGGTTTGGTGGCTAATGCCTGTAATCCCAGCACTTTGGGAGGCTGAAATGGGTGGATCACCTAAAGCCAGGAATTCCAGAGCAGCCTGGCCAACATGCTGAAACCCCCGCTCTACCAAAAATACAAAAATTACCTGGGCATGGTAGTGCACGCCTTTAGTCCCAGCTACTTGGGAGGCTGAAGGATGAGAACTGCTTGAACCCAGGAGGCAGAGGTTGCAATGAGCCAAGATCTTGCCACTGCACTCTAGCCTGGGCAACAGAGCGAGACCCTGTCTCAAAAAACAAAACAGCCAGGGACGGTGGCTCATGCCTGTAATCCCAGCACTTTGGGAGGCCGAGGCAGGTGGATCACCTGAGGTCAGGAGTTCAAGACCAGCCTGGCCAACATAGTGAAACCCCGTCTCTACTAAAAATACAAAAAATTAGCCGGGCGTGGTGGTGGGCGCCTGTAATCCTAGCTACTCAGAAGGCTGAGTGAGGAGAATGGCTTGAACCCGGGAGGCGGAGGATGCAGTGAGCCGAGATAGCGCCACTGCACTCCAGCCTGGGCAACACAGTGAGATTCGTCTCAAAAACAAACACAAAATTCTGAATTTTCAGGGTAAGTACACAAATCAATTGTCTTATCTCTAAACAAAGATGTGTTTAGCTCACCAATCATGAAGGCCTAAACATGTTGTCATGTAATGGGAAAAATACAAAATCCACACATTTTCAGCCCATTTATTTCCAAAAAACCCCAGCAGTCGGAGCACTCTGACAATGTCTAAACACGTGCTTACCTTAGTACTCTGAGTGCAGCTGCCATATGAAGCAACATTTCTTTGTGGGTTACGTTAACACAAAGAATTCAATATGCAAAGTTCCCAAAATAAAACAAAAATTTACTTGGACGTTATTCATTGGCTAATAGAACATTTTAGTCCCAATCCAAAAAAATTCTAGGAAAATGTCAAGAACCAAGTTAACCAAGACCACTTTAAACAGAATCTTCATTCTAGGTATATGAAAACTGTTTCTTTAAATTAGAGATATTTTTGGTCCTAAAATCTAGAACTGAATCAGCTACAACTGCAAACAAGGTGATTAGTGCAAAGCAATACAACTGTCCAAAGACAAGCTACTTCCCATTTTCCCTACTCAGTAACGCATTATTAAAATCCTTAATATTAGCCCTTCAATTTCCATGCATCTACCCAGTAACACCTAAGGCAACTATTTAAGGAATAAAGCCACACAAAGTCAGAGTAATTGAGCAACTAGTATGAACCAATTACCTAGATTTCTAAAAGTCCATAATGAATCAGAACTCAGATAAGTTACCACCATTTATCTTTTATATATATACTTTCTTGCATATACAAGTCTCAGGAAGAGTAATGTCATACAAGAGCACTAGGAATTGCCACATACTCCCAAATGGGCAGCAAAAGGAACAAACATTACTGATTTAAGAGTACATACATACTAACTCAAAAAAATGATTTGGCAAATCATTTTCTAACTTGTGTGGGTAATTTTTTCCCTTCCATTTAGAAGTGAACAACTGGCTACCAATTTAGTACAGAAGTAATCAATAGCACAAAAGCTAAATTCTGTCCAAATGGGCATTCTAACCTCTTAAAAAAAAGGGGGGGGGGGGCTACTTTCCAGGAGCCATTAAGTTCTGCCCCAGCTCAACCTATGGAGTTTACCTATATAAAATGTTCATAATTATCATCTCATGGAAAAATCTCTTTGCACAACACAAAGGACTTACACAAAAGGATCTGAAAATGTCACTAAATGTGAAATACTAAACTATAATTATGGTATTTCTGTAACACATTATACACCCCTTAACAGCTTTCAGAATATATTTTATGTTGCTGCCTACATATTCAGAAAATAACATGTTTTACTAACAAGTTTTATCTTGCCCTTACTTTGACTAGAGATGTAAAGTATGCTTTAAAATTACTTCTAATTTCACAGCTTCCTGTCAGGTAGACCACTTAATTTGAACCTAGAACTAAACTTCTATTTTTGAGACACAGCCTATCACCCAGGCTGGAGTGCAGTGCTACAATCTTGGCTCAATGCAACCTCTACCTTCTGGGTTCAAGTGATTCTTGGGTGTGGTGGTGCACACCTGTTATCCCAGCTACTTGGGAGGCTGAAGCAGAATTGCTTGAACCCAAGGGGTGGAGGCTGCAGTGACCTGAGATCATCCCACTGCACCCCAGCCTGGGTGACAGAGCCAGACTATTTCAAAAAAACAAACTCTAGTAACCTGAAAGTGACAGTTCTGGGGTCAGCAAACATTTCTGTGAAGGGTGGTATATGCTGGGCTGCCTACATTTTTTTGTGGGTTTTTTTTTTTTTTTTTTTAAATCCTATACAAGCCTAAAAAACCATTTTTAACCCAGGGATGCACCGAACAAAACAGGTCACAGGCTGAACTTTGCTGACCCCTGGCTTACATATAGCATTTTATTTAAATGGCATTCATTTCCAATGTTCATTATTTTCATCTGTGACCAAAATCTTCATGGTTTTAGCAAGTTATAGTCTAACCATTTCCTAAACTTAAGCTTCTCATGTTTACATTACAACCATGCTTTCTCTATATTCTTGAAATTACCGACTTCCTCAGTCTAATTTATTTCAATCACTTCACATAACCCCCAAATTTGAACTTAAAAGTCAAGCAAGATTAAGTGGTAATCCCAGGGCACAGCTTGGGCCAAATAACAACCCACATTTCTGGGAAGCTGCCACTTACTATTAATCTCAACCTGACAATTATCTTGCAAATGACATTGATCAATCATTTAATTACTATGATCCAGTTCAAATATGTATCACTTTACTGCCTTGTCACCAGTTATGCCATAGAAAGCACAGCAAATAATGAACTTTCTGGGCTTTTCTTAGTCAACCTGAAGATCTGGCTTGTACATGTTCAGACTTGCTAAAACTTTACATATTTATCTCAGTGTAATCCAAACATCTGGGTTATAATCTATTTTCTAAGTGTTTACTTTCTTAAGAAAGTAGAATTACATGCACCTGAGACCTCTGGAATTTGCTATACCATTGGACTAGATGTCCACTAACATACCTGAACAATCTTACCTTTAAAGTCAACATCGATTAGGTTCTATCAACTTCCTATTTCTCATTCCTTTGAACCTTCTAATACCTGTTGTGTTCCTTCCCTATGACGGTACTTTCCTAAAGACATGTTAGGTTGGTACAAAAGTAATTGCACCTATCTAGTATTTTCAAAATCCAATACACACTGAGGCTTTGTATGCAACCCCCTATTTTTCTATTTCAGTGCAACCATCTCTGGCAACTAGAAGAATAACAGAATTAGAATGAATACTTAATATCTTCCTTTTAAACCCACACCAAAAACAAGCCCCAAATATATGTACAATCCTGGAAATGATGTGTCCTACCTTCCATCCAAAAAATAAGAAGTAAAGGAACTGACTAGATGTATATGGTGTCACTTTTTAAAATTCTTGCATAACTCCACAGGTCTCAAAATAGCTAATAAATAATTTCATTTCAAGCTGTAAAAATGCCTTAAAAATGTCAGCTCTGGTATTACTTCCATTTAAACGCATCAAGATAGAAGTTCACTGAAACATCAGCTGCCACTATTACTTTAGGAATCTGTATCTGTTTAGGAATTTTTCCCCTAGACTATTACAGCCAGTTTATCAATAAAAAGTAGCATTCAGTATGCTTAACTTTCATTATCAAAAAAGTGATCTGCTAAGAAGTGACAATTAGATTAAATCCAAGAAGTCCTTGGATTTTGTATCTCACAAGAATTCAACTTTCCCAATTAAGTCACTAGTCATTAAGATAAGTACCCTTCCCAAATGTGATTCAACAGCCTGGTTTTTAGCAAATAAAAACCCCATATAAAATTCAATTTAAAAATTGTAAGCACACAAGGGTGTGCACACAGGTCAGAAACCAGGAAACACATGACAATAAACATGATCCTATTTGATTGTTTTTATGACTTTTAAGAAGTGAGCATGAAAATAAATCTTTATTTTCAGTTATTACCCACCAGTAAGAGAAAGTTAGGTTCACAGTTTTAGCTCTTGACACAAAGTGAACTAGGAGGCAAATTTATATCCATCAGATACAACTAATGGACCAACTTTTTAAGTTCAGGCTATCTTGAAAGCTTGCAACATACCAGATATTGCTATGTCATCTCTCACGACAGCAATGGATGACACTGAGTAGAAGTTGCGTTTTGAATAGCAGGTGTTTTCTATAGCATGTTGCTAGAAATCAAGGTTTATAAACATGGTACATGTTTGGAAATGAGTTAGATACTTGAAAAGTCTAAACACACTGATTTATGAGTGCGTATGTTGCCGTCTCAAAAGGGGTCAACAGTTCATATGGACTAAATTAATCTCAGGGTAGCACGTATGTTTGTAAATATAAAATTATATTAGACAATAGCACCAGTGCAGAACATGCTCAGCATCATAAGATCCAAAACACCAGCACAAGTTTATCCATCATTAAAGACAATTACCTCCTTCCTAAAATGTCAGAATAGTAGGTAACTGAGATTAATAAATCTAATCCAAACAAGTAACTCTTATAACATAAAATTTCTCTTTTAGAAGTATATGTGAGAACCAATCAGCTAAATATAACTGTTTAAGACTGAAGATGTCCAGTACTTTTAAAATTGGACATTACCATATACAGGTAGAACATTTCTAAAAATGACGTGACAAATGATTCTTAACACTTTTTAAAAAATTCCTTCAGTTTATCAATAAATGTGGCAGAATAAAAGACAATCCTAGAAAACTTTATTCATCATTCTATGTGTGTTTTAATAAGTAGTGATGCTCCCATTATAGGAATCCATTATTAACCTAATTTTCTAATGGAGGAAGAGAGAAAAGATAATTACCACTTTCTGTGGAATACTCAACTTAGGACCAAATAATAGCAATCTAGGAAATAGTAAAGATTTTTGGTTTATATTTCATGGATAGTGCTGCTGTTCCAGCCTTATAAAGTAAAGCTGGTCTGCTTCCCAAATTCCAAAAATTAAAATACTCCCCACCTCACCCTACCAACCAGTGCCCTTTGGTTTTTGTTTTAGAACAAGGAAGGGTTAAATGGTTGCTGATCATGGATGCACCATTTTGATTTTGTGACCTTTCACACACAGAAATCATACCAAATGGCCAGACACTTATTTTACAGAACAGTTTAAATATTACACATTGGCCAAATCAACTTATTCCACCCACCCTGGTGGAGGGGGAGAAAAAACCCATACCTATAAAACTACTTCACTTGACAGGATGTGTCTACCAACAATAAGTAGCTTAAACAACTTTCACCAATTAAGATGTCTAGTTTAGATTTTAAAATGGGAAAGTCACACATTTAAAAAGTAAATATAGTTGAAAATGTAAATCAGTTATAATCTGAACCTAATGAACCATGCAAGGAGCAAGGGTTAATAAACCAATGTGCTTTGAATTTGTTCAAGTACTGATATTTCTGTATATAAAGATTTAGCATATATATATAACAGCTATGAGAAGTGAAAAAAGATTTTTCCCCAAAAATGAAAATATTAAAACTAAGTTAAAATACATATAGTTAGTATTCCACACAGCATAAAATTTGACAAATCAAAGTTTAACATGTCCCAGTTGACCATGTGTGAATATGCAAAGCAGGTATTAAAACCAATATGTCCAATATTTAAAACCAGTTTGTAATTGGGGGAACTTCTAAATCCTTAATTAAAAAACACAAATGAAGTGAAAGCTTTAAACTGGTACACACTGTTCACACCTATATTTCAAGTTTGGAAATGCATATTTGCAAGCAGCAATACAAAAGTATTCATGAAGAATGCATAATCTCTGAAAATTATGAAAACATCCCTGCTACCAATACATTTCTAAATACAAAACTGACTACCATATTTGTTACTTCTGTGTAGCGAGAGAAGTTCATTTTTAAAACAGATAAAATTCAGTCTTTAGGTGTGAATGGTATGAATGACAGTCTTTTTTTTTTTTAAATTTCTTAGTCGTTTGGAATCCTTAAGCATGCAAAAGCTTTGAACAGAAGGGTTCACAAAGGAACCAGGGTTGTCTTATGGCATCCAGTTAAGCCAGAGCTGGGAATGCCTCTGGGTCATCCACATCAGGAGCAGAAGCACTTGACTGAAAAAGAAAAACCAATATTAACCACAGTTCTCAATTCTTCAAAATTACATTGTTAGCTAGTGTCTACATTAAGATAGAACTCTAAAAAAATTTTACTGTTGGCCAGGCACGGTGGCTCAAACCTGTAATCCTAGTGCTTTGGGAGGCCAAGGCGAGTGGACGACCTGAGGTCAGGAGTTTGAGACCAGCTTGGCCAACATGGTGAAATGCTGTCTCTACTAAAAACACAAAATATTAGCTGGGCATGGTGGCAGGCACCTGTGATCCCAGCTACTCGGGAGGCTGAGGCAGGAGAATAGCTTGAATCTGGGAGGCGAGGGTTGCAGTGAGCTGAGATCCGGCCACTGCACTCCAGCCTGGGCAACAGAGTGAGACTCCCATCTCAAAACAAAACAAAACAAAAACAAACAAACAAACAAAACCCCACAAAAAAACCTACTGTTAAAACTCTAGGTAAAATGTATCAAGACAAAATTATGGATCAGAAAAAAACTACATATATTTGCAATGAGCCCTGTCCTAAATTTCTATCAAGACCTATTTTCATTCCAGAGTAATAGTATGGGTTTTCTTTTTCTCTTTTTTTTTTGGAGACAGTCTTACATTCTGTTGCCCAAGCTGGAGTGCAGTAGCATGATCTCAGTTCACTGCAACCTCCGCCTCCTGGGTTCAGGGGATTCTTGTGCCTCAGCCTCCCAAGTACCTGGGTTACAGGGCTGTGCCACCATACCCGGCTAATAAGACAGGGTTTCACAATGTTGGCCAGGCTGGTCTCAAATTCCCAACCTCAGGTGATCTGTTCACCCAGGCCTCCCAAAGTACTGGGATTACAGGCATGAGCCAATGTGCCCAGCCCAGTTGTTTTATTTTTTCCAGTAAACCATACGAATAGATTCACAAGCAATTATGTACGTGAATTTGCATTGTTGTTCAGAATTCTTATACTTTTTCCACTTGCTAAATAAGAATGGCATCAATGTGAAAGCATGCTAAGAAACGAATATTTAAGTAGCAATAATCAACAAGGTTAAAAGTCCAAAAACAGGGCCAGGCGTGGTGGCTCAAGCCTGTAATCCCAGCACTTTGGGAGGCCGAGACGGGCGGATCACAAGGTCAGGAGATCGAGATCATCCTGGCTAACACGGTGAAACCCCATCTCTACTAAAAATACAAAAAATTAGCCGGGCGTGGCGACGGGCACCTGTAGTCTCAGCTACTTGGGAGGCTGAGGCAGGAGAACGGTGTGAACCCGGGAAGCGGAGCTTGCAGTGAGCTGCGATTCCGCCACTGCACTCCAGCCTGGTCTACAGAGCGACTCCATCTCAAAAAAAAAAAAAAAAAAATACAAAAAATACAAAAAAGGAGTCCAAACTGCTCTTTATAGCCTAAAGTATAAATAACAGAACTAAAAAAAAAAGTATGGGAAAAGCCCATAAACACACCGCCGCCTTAAAAAAAAAAAAAAAAAAAAAAGATTGGTCTTGGAGGAACAAAGTATCATTACACTGGTACACTGGCAGTGATAAGTTACCCTTATAATAATCAAAAATAGACTCAATCAAGCAGGTGGGTCCCCAAATTTGTAAGATGTTGAGAATTTAGGAGGACATTATGGTTGTTTCCAAGCATCAGATCTGAGTTCATATCTATCAATTACTTGGGATTCATCAAAATATTTCTCTAAGAACTTGTTTTGTGCCATATACTGTTCAAGGCATCGGAGGGATTATAGAAAGTAAAGTAAGACAAAAATGAATCCCATCTCTCTCAGAAGAGTCTAGTAAAAGAAAAAAGCATCAACAATCATGAGTGTCACAAGAGGAATTATACAAGGAACACAATGGTTATTAAGCGGAGACTTAAAAAGCAGTTAGGAATTATCAAAGTGAACTGACTGCTTTTCAGGTAAGCCTTAGCAAAGGTCAAGAGTTAACCTGATTCACTACACCAGATTTTCTTATCTGGAAAATGAGAATGTCATCATAGTTAACAAGAATTAAATGACATTAAGTACATAAAATGCCTAGCCCAGCACCATGACCAGCACCTAGTAAGAATTCAAAAGGTGGTAACTTAACACTACTTACAGCACTATAAAAAAGACATTTAAGTGCTTTAAACAAAAATATAACCTAACACGTGGTTTCTTTTTTTTTTTTTTTTTTTGAGACGGAGTCTCGTGCTGTCGCCCAGGCTGGAGTGCAGTGGCCAGATCTCAGCTCACTGCAAGCTCCGCCTCCCGGGTTTACGCCATTCTCCTGCCTCAGCCTCCCGAGTAGCTGGGACTACAGGCACCCGCCACCTCGCCTGGCTAGTTTTTTGTATTTTTAGTAGAGACGGGGTTTCACCGTGTTAGCCAGGATGGTCTCGATCTCCTGACCTCGTGATCCGCCCGTCTCAGCCTCCCAAAGTGCTGGGATTACAGGCTTGAGCCACCGCGCCCGGCCAACACGTGGTTTCTTAAAGACACTGCTACTACTTCTACTTCTTATGTTCCCAGAAGGACCCAGCCAGTGACTTCTAAGAGGTCCTTAAATTACGTAAAAGGAAAAAAAAGTCTTAAATTACCTTGTCAGTCCTGCTGCCACGGTTTGGGCGCCCACCACGCCCACGTCCACCTCGTCCTCCCCTGCCACCACGTCCTGGGCGGCCAAGGTCTCCAAAATTGATCTCCAGCTGAGACGTTATATCATTTGCTGGCTTCCGGAAATGATGGTCCATAACCGAATCTTCAGCATGAGCCTAAAAACGTAAGTGAAGATGACTGGGTTATTAGTAGAAAAGTAACGTCGCAAAATTTCTAAATAATGAGCTTTCTTCTAAAAAGACCAAAAATCCAAACTGTACTTTCTGTGAACAAATGTCTCAATGTCTCCACAGGTAACAAGCTAGGGCTCAGCTATAGTGATCTTGGAGGAATAATTTCCTTCACTTTTCTCTATCGCAAAATTGCAGGTAATATCAGCGGTCCTCAACTAAAGACATATATGCTATCACAATCAACCCAAATGATTGTGGCCCATCCCAGACTTACTGAATCATAATCTTTAGCAGTGAAATCTGGACAAGTACATTTTAAATATGCCCTTCAGATCAGGACTCCAATGTGAATCCTTGATGAAGACCTCTGGATAGATGACATATAAGGCTACTACTATCATTGAAGTTAAAAAGAACACGCAAGTTAAAAAGAAAACCTCCGTTCTACACTCTTTCAACTAAACTAGGGTAACGACCTTATTCCATACAAACTTTTCAGAAGCATCTTCTGTTAATATACAACCATTATGTTTTTCCACACAAATATGGAGAGCTACAAATTCAAGTGAAACACTACACACTTTACATAAGGGGAATCTTGTAAAGCTATGCACAAATAAATCCACAGCTTAAATGTGTCACAGGAACTTTTTTTTTTTTTGAGACAGGGTCTCACTCTGTCACCAGGCTGGAGTGCAGTGGCGCGATCTGGGTTCATTGCAACCTCCACCTCCCAGGCTCAAGTGATCCTCCCACCTTAGCCTCCCAAGTAGCTGGGACTACAGGCACATGCCACGATGTCTGGCTAATTTTTTTGTATTTTTTTATAGACAGGTTTTCGCAGTGTTGCTCAGGCTGGTCTCAAACTCCTGGGCTCAAGTGATCCGCTGGTGTTGGCCCTCCAAAGTGCTGGGACTACCGGCATGAGCCACCATGCGCAGCTAGAAACTTCTTAAAAATGAAGTCATGTTTGTGAAATCCAGATCCTTTCTATTTGTGTTTAAGATACATGACCCAGGCTGGGAGGAAAAAAGCAAAAAGCCAGACAGTTCTACACTGCTCCATGCCTGATGTCTTCTTCCATGCTTGGGATGGGTTTTAATCTTCTAGTTGAAAACTGTGCCTATGGGACTTTAAAGTACAGCTTTCTTTTTCTAAATACGTGTAAGAAATCCTCTTTTCTAAAGGAATAAAGAACATTTTCTTCTTTCATTAGAACTTGTACTATTACAATTCCATTAGATTCAACTTAAAATATTACAACTGTTAATAACTAGCCTTTAAAGTACAAATAAATTTTTGTGTTTTCATCCCTTACATCAACTCATACTAGCATTAAAGGTCAATCCTTTGTACCCACACTAACACACTGTAAGGCAACAGAAGGCTCTAATACAAATTTTAAAGGAGCCTAGAAACATAAAAACAAATTCACAAAAACACCAGCAAATTAAGATGAATTATATATACTAATTGTGTGATTTTTAAATGTTTGAAAGAGCTTTCAAACCAATGCTTTCAATTAATTGCAAACCACCTATCAAAAATATTCAGAAAAAAATAAAACCAGCCAACCATATAACAATAAAAAGTAAGGCCAAGGGCAGTGGCTGAAACTTGTAATCCCACACTCTGGAAGGCATAGGCAGGAGGGCTGCTTGAGTCCAGGAGCTGGCATAGGCATGTAGTTCCAGCTACTCAGGAGGCTGAGCTAGAAGGATCGCTTGAGCACATGGAGGTTGAGGCTGCAGTAAGCTGTGACCATGCTACTGCATTCCAGCCTACATGACAGACCAAGACCTTGTCTCAAAATAAAGTGTATGGGGGAGTGCTCCCTTTGGCAGCACACATACTAAAAGTGGAATGATGCAAAGATTATTAGCATGATCCCCACAAGGATGACAAGCAAAACTGTAAATTGTTCGATTTTTTAAATTAAAAAATAGAAACAATAAAAAATAAAGTATTTGGGAAAATGTGTTTAGGCTATATGCAGATACCATGCCATTTTATATAATGGACTTGAGCATGTGAAAATTTTAGTATGTCTGGGTCCTGGAACAAATCCCCAGCAGATACCAAGAAACTGTACTGGGATAAATTTGGGGCAGGGGGTTGGGGGGAACCTTTTATTTTCTTTTGAGACAGTCTTGCTCTGTCAACTAGACTGGAATGCAATGATGCAATCTTGGCCCACCGCAACCTCTGCTTCCTGGGCTCAAGTGATCCTCTCCTGCCTCAGCCTCCTAGGTAGCTGAGACCACAGGTGCATGCAACCACATCCAGATAATTTTTATAGTTTTTGTAGAAATAGGGTTTTGCCATGCTGCCCAGGCTGGTCTCAAACTTTCAACTCAAATATCTGCTTGCCTCAGCCTCCCAAAGTGCTGGGATTACAGGTGTAAGCCACTGTGCCCAGCCTCCTTCTTTCTAGAGAGCTCAGAGAATGAGCAGAAGAAAACAGAAACTCTGAGCTCTGTCAATAACATGGTAACACAGTTCTCCATTTGTAAAGTTTCTTCCTTCCTCTTAACTACCTCACATTTGTCATGAGAATGAAGATATGTACAAGTTAAAGAGCTTTTTTTAAAAAATTTTTTTGAGAAAGAGTCTTGCTCTGTTGCCCAGGCTGGAGTGCAGTGGTGTAACCTCAGCTCACTGCAACCTCCGCCTCCTGTGTTCAAATGATTCTCTTGCCTCAGCCTCCTGAGTAGCTGGGATTACAGGCATGCGCCACCACACCTGGCTAATTTTGTATCTTTAGTAGAGATGGGGTTTCTCCATGTTGGTCAGACTGGTCTTGAAATCCCGACCTCAGGTGATCCGCCCACCTCAGCCTCCCAAAGTGCTGGGATTACAGGTGTGAGTCACTGAGCCTGGCCAAAACCAAGTGTTCTAATGCAGTTTTTTTCCTACAGGACTTAAAAAAAGATAATTTCCTCATTTACTATTCATATGGAGTAAATGTTAAAAATCATCTCTAAACCTAAAAAAAACTTTAAATCTTTTTAATCTCCATTTTATTTTACAATGTTTCCAAGTTTGTCTTATAGCCATTTTGCAGTTTAAAAAATTAAGCGTATCGGCTGGGCATGGTGGCACACGCCTATAATCCCAGCACTTTGGGAGGCTCACACAGGTGGATCACTTGAGGCCAGGAGTTTGAAACCAGCCTGGCCAGCATGGTGAAACCTCATCTCTACTAAAAATACAAACATTACCCGGGCGTGGTGGCGAATGTCCATAATCCCAGCTACTGGGGAGGTTGAGACACAAGAATTGTTTGAATTCGAGGGGCGGGAGGTTGTGGTGAGCAGAGACGGTACCACTGCATTCCAGCCTGGGCGAAAGAGTCAGACTGTGTCCCAAAAAAAATAAAAATAACTAATACCTTATTAAATGGGTTTGCCCTCATAATATTTTAATTTAACTTTACCTTAGGATGATAAAACTTGCAGTCTGGATTTCTGGCACAGCCCAATTTATGATATGAATAAATCAAACACAAATGTCAAAAGGTTAAAGGAAGCTGATAGAGAAAAAAAATTTAGGAGAAGAAATAATATAGTTTGGCTTTAAAAACTCATACAAGCCCTAACAAGGAGCGGCACTGAAATATTCCTCTAAGAACACACCCCAAAGCTTAAATGGAAGCTACCAATTCAAGAGCCATCAATGTGACTTTTTCCAATACAGCTGACTCTTGAACAACTTGGGTTTGAACATTCTGCCTGTCAGCCTTGAAACAAGCAAGCCCAACCCCTCTTCTTCCTATCCAAAATAAAGACCTTTGCGACAATCCAGTTCCATTTAATGAACAGTAAATATATTTTCTCAACATTTTAACTTACTTTACTGTAAAAATACAGTATATAATATGCAACATACAAAAAGCGTTAACTGGTTATGTTATCAATAAGACTTTCAGTCAACAGGTTATTAGTAGTTAAGTTTTGGCAGAGTCAAAGGTTACATGTGCACTGATCTGCAGGGTCAGTGCCCCTAGCAACCTCACATTGTTCAACAAGTCAACTGTATTTTCACTAGTTTCCATGTTTCTTAAGTAAAACCCACATATTCTTTGGTTTTTAAAGCCATCATTCCTTAGACAAGATGCATATTACCATTTACTGAGTGTCCTGGCCATTACACATGATATAGGCAGACAGTTTCAAAAGTTGAATTCCAAATGAAGTCACTTAACATTTTAGGTTATATGAAAATGTCAAGATTTCAACCTAACACCATAATACCAAAATCCTTTAATGATCTCCAGTTTGGCAAGATTTCAAAAATACAATCACAACTTTGAAAAGAACTATCACATTTCTGAACACTAATAATTACACAATACACCACTAACAGCTTTTTAGGAAAAAGCATCTCTACCACATAAAACATAATTATGAATTGATCGAAGGACTTTCTTAGAATATGTGATAATACAGTTTATTTTCCTTATAAAGCAAATTATCTGCCCCAAATGATCCTATGTAAAGCTTTTTTTATAGACAAATCACCCATGTGAAATTTTAAAACAAAAATTATAAATACAATTCAAGTCACATCTGAACATTTTCAAACACGACAAAACTTAATTTTACCTCTTCACTCTTTGATTTATGAAGAACAAATCCCTTCTTCCACTGCCCATCAGCACCTTCATTTGGTTTTCGGATATTAAATTCTACTTTTGCCCGGTCCTTATTTTGAATAGCCTTCCACTCATCCAAAGTCATCTCTTTTGGACCCTCCTCTTTTACCTCTTCAACTTCATTCTCCCTGTGAAAAGGTTTTCAAGTTTTATACCTGGTAGAGAGCTGATATAATTTACATAAAAGTATTTCAAATTTATGATTTTAATTAAGAAAGTTAACCTTGTAATCTTTTAGAGAAAGATTATCCAAGGATGAGGGTATCCTAGTTTCCTGTGTAACTAAGCAACTTGGTAGAGACCAGGAATTCAGTGTTTGCTGACTATATACAAGTAAGGGATATAGAATTCACCCTCATGAACTCTTAAATGATCACTTATCAGTAATACAACCTAGAACAGGCTTTACCAATACTAAAATACACATTTCTTAAAAACAGTACCTGCCAGGCACGGTGGCTCATGCCTGTAATCCCAGCACTTTGGGAGGCCGAGGTGGGCAGATCACGAGATCAGGAGATCGAGACCATCCTGGCTAACACAGTGAAACCCCGTCTCTACCAAAAATACAAAAAATTAGCCAGGCGTGGTGGCGGGCACCTATAGTCCCAGCTACTCCAGAGGCTGAGGCAGGAGAATGGCGTGAACCCGGGAGGCGGAGCTCACAGCGAGCCAAGATCACACCACTGCACTCCATCCTGGGCTACGAGCAAGACTCCGTCTCAAAAAATAAAAACCAAACAGTACCTTGTTTAAAAACTACCTTCTTAGGTAAAATCCTCAGCCTATCTTCTTTTAAACCACATTTTTAATTTCCATAATTCCCAAAATACGTTAATTCTTAATAACACACAAGAAGGTAATCCTCTTGACAGAAGGATGTCTGTTAGCAACCAGGGTTCAACTTTTGGAACATAAAAGAACTGTTCCTCTATGCTTTATTTCGGCAACTAGCACTTATAGCAAATAAAAACAATAGCCATGTTTCTACAAATCCTAAAATCCTTATACTCCAATTTTCAAACCAACCTGTATATGGAAAGGAGGCCAAGGATTCACTGCTAATAGAACTATCCACAAACACACACTGGTTTCATTATTTAACACTAAACCATTTATTTCTAAATATAATTCTCCAGTCTATTGAATACGATCCTTTCCTCTTTTTACAGAAACAAAGCACTGGCCTAAGGATCCACTATTTTAGTATAATCTCAATTTGCAATTGTCATCAAACAAGTCATTTGCTATTTGGGGAGCCCTTCTTTCCAAAGATAGCAGGTGATTCAGTTAGCTTTAGAGCTCAAATATCTCCCTGGATGCTGCCCTTTACCATTTGACAAATCCTATCTTAAAACTTCCTCCAGTTATATCTATGCTGCAAAAAACAAAAAACAACTCTAGAGCAAGTTTACACTGAATTGGGTACTGAGTCCACCCAGTCATTTTACAGATGAGAAATCCAAGAAAATAAAAAAAGTCCTGGTTACCCATGTTATAACACAGCCAGGAATATAACTTAGCATACCTTTTATCATATCATGGAGGCATGACACCCACCTTTCAGGAATTACTGCAAAGATTAAATAAAAACCAAACAGAAGCTCTGGAAGCTATATATAAGCTAGTTAATCAGTCAGCCAATGTTGTGTTTCTTAAATTTATACTTCCATATGCTATGCCCAGATTCTTCCCTACTCTGGAGTAAGATTAGAGACAGTTCTAATGTGATGGATAATTATTTTCTTTAAACCAAACACCTTCAATTTCATTCCTGGGTACTCAGCTAAGGATTTGCTACCGATACCCTATCAGCACATTAGTACCTTTTGGTAAACAGTTATAATATTTGCAGATCACTCTGAGTGATTCAACATGGGCTCTATTAAACAGTTGTGGTTGGACGCGGTGGCTCACACCTGTAATCCCAGCATTTTGGGAGGCCAAGGCGGGAGGATCACTTGAGGCCAGGAGTTCAAGACCAGCCTGGCCAACATGGTGTAACCGTGTCTCTACTGAAAATACAAAAATTAGCTGGGCATGCTGGAGCATACCTATTGTCCCAGGTAATCGGGAGACTGAGGCAGGGGAATCGCCTGAACCTCAGAATAGCCAAAATCGCGCCACTGCACTCTAGCATGGGAGACAGGAGACTGTGTCTCAAAGAAACAAACAAACAAAAAAGTTACGTTGACCACTGTGAGAAACTTAATGTTGCATAGGGTTCATTTGTTAAGGCACCAATCACCATTTCATTGTTTATCAGGCAAAAGTATGATTCCATTATAGTTTTGCATAAATTTTTACTACCAAGTTCAAAACATCACCCAATACTAGGTACTTTTATCTACTCCCTCCAATAGTGTATCATTTTTCCTTATCCCAACAAATCCATGGAATATGATATTCCCATCATTAACAGTGTTTCATCATAAGACCAATTCTTCCTGAAGAAAAGAAAAAATTCAAGGCCAGGCGCAGTGACTCATGCCTGTAATCCCAGCACTTTGGGAGGCTGAGGTGTGCGGATCACCTGAGGTCGGGAGTTGGAGATCAGCCTGATCAACATGGAGAAATCCCATCTCTACTAAAAATACAAAATTAGCCAGGCATAGTGGCACATGCCTGTAATCCCAGCTACTCAGGAGCTCAGGCAGGAGAATCACTTGAACCCAGAAGGCAGAGGATGCAGTGAGCCGAGATCACGCCATCGCACTCCAGCCTGGGCAACAAGTGAAACTCCGTCTCAAAAAAAAAAAAAAAAAAAAAGAGCAAGTTTAGAAAGCATCTGCCCCTCCCACCCCCAAACTAACTTGAATATGCTTCTGGTTAGGAATCACTGTCCTAAACAACCTGTAATCCAAGACTTTAAACCACAATAACAAATAACTGACAAAATAAACATAATTTTAGGCCAGGCGCCGTGGCGCACGCCCATAATCCCAGCACTCTGATCAGGAATTTCAGACCAGCCTGGCCATTATGGTGAAACCGTCTCTACTAGAAACACAAAAAATTAGCCAGGTGTGGTGATGCACGCCTGTAATCCATTACTCGGAAGACTGAGGTAGAAGAATCGCTTGAACCCAGGAGGCAGAGGTTGCAGTGAGCCGAGATAACGCCATTGCACTTCAGCCTGGGTGACAGAGCGAGAGTGTCTCGAAAAAGAAAAAAAAAAAAAACAAAAACACGTAATTTTAAAAGCTAGTGAAGGGCCAGACGTGGTGGCTCACTCCTGTAATCCCAGCACTCTGGGAGGCCGAGGAGGGCAGATCACCTGAGGTCAAGAGTTCAAGACCAGCCTGTCCAGTTGGCCAAGACAGTGAAACCCCTCTCTACTAAAAAATATAGAATATTAGCCAGGCATTTAAAAAAAAAAAGTTAGTGAAGGGCTGGGCAAGGTGGCTCACGCCTGTAATCCCAGCACTTTGGCAGGCCAAGGTGGGTGGCTTGCCTGAGCTCAGGAGTTGAAGACCAGCCTGGGCAAAATGGTGAAACTCTGCTCTACTAAAAATACAAAAATTAGCCAGGCCTGGTGGCAGGCACCTGTAGTCCCAGCTACTCAGGTGGCTGAGGTGGAAGGATTGTTTCAGCCCGGGAAGCGGAGGGTGCAGTGAGCCAAGATCACTCCACTGCATTCCAGCCTGGGCTACAGAATGAGACCTAGTCTCAAAAAAGAAAAAAATGCTCGTGAATAACATACTCTGATCTTTGCTCTCTTCACACATTTAAAAACAGGCCAGTAATGCTATGTTCCAAATTCTACGTTGGAAGTAACTTCAAGACAGAACTAATCTTAAAATGGCCACATTTTCTACTTTTAACTACCTCAAAGTAAAATTTGTACGGTTGTATGACAATGGTAAAATGACTAATCAAACAGAAATAACCACATTAAAATATTCTATTTTTCAAAGCATTAGAGTCAAATATATACACATAAAGCACTCTTTTAAGGGCTGGGTGCAGCGGCTCATGCCTGTAATCCCAGCACTTTGGAAGGCCAAGGCAGGAGGAACGCTTGAGCCCAGGAATTCCAGACCTGCCTAGGCAATATAGTGAGACCCTGTCTCTTACCAAAAAAAGAAAAAAAAAAAAAAAAAAGCATTCTTTTAAATACTCTTTGAGGGATGAGGGTACAATACGTCTCCCTTGTCAAAAACAAAAAGCCATCAAGCAACAGCATTAAATCTATGGGTTATCTCATTGGTCAAAATCCAGTGCTTTTAATTCTGGGTCATTACTATTACACGCAAAACCACTTACTTATTTTCAGTGTCTGCCACTGGATGATGTTCTTCACCTTCAGGTGTTTCCTCAGTCACATTTGATTGATCCAAGTCACTGTAATTATAAGATATTTGTTTCTGAATGTATTTGGGGGACTCTCTAAGGAAAGAAAGAAAAAGAAAGGCATCTAGGTCCATTTACATGTAGCTGAAGAGTTCTTCATACAAAAATACTGTAAACCCTCACTTTCTCTAACTCCTTTCCTACTAAATATACTCCCCAGAAGACCTTGAAAAGGAAATAATATAAACTATTTAGTTCATATACTTCATACTTAAAAAGTAACAGAACAAGGCAGCTAATTATAAAACCAAGCTTTACTAGTTTAACAAATTTTGTAATGACAACAAAGTCAAAAGCTAGAATAGGAACTATTAAGGGCACTAAGATAATCAGAATACCCAAATAACCTTATTGTGGGGTTTCAGAAGCAGCTACAAATATATATGGGGGAAAATGAGTAACAAATATATTGAAGTATAGAAAAACTAGTCATTCAATACACTACAACCCAAATTCATCCCATAGGATATTATCTTATAGTAGCTCTCAGAGGAGAGCATTCATTATCTCAGACAAGTAAAATTTGACAGAGGTATGGATTAACCCCTAGTTAGGTACAGAATTTTAAAAAAAATCAGAATACCAACGTTAATTCGTCTTTGACAGTTCCCCAGTTGTGAGATCCGCTACCTCCACGTTTGTCCTCGTGCTTCAGGCCACTGTAATGTGAAAAAGAACTAACAAAACTGAGTTAACATAATACTCTTTAGTTCTAGAAATTCAAAGTTTGTTTATTAGATTAAAATATTAAAATAAACTAAAAACCAGTAAGACTTACGATCTATCACTTCCACTATGCCTATCAAATTCACGTTTGCCACGAGAATCAAATCCATCTCCTCGGCCCATTCCACGTCCACGGCCCCCTCGACCTCTTCCAAGACCACCACGACCTCGAATAGGTCGGTCAATAATCGGTCTATAATATAAACAAATTATACTTCCATGGTTTCCAGAATGAGGAAAATCCATCCAAAAACCCAAAAATACAGAACATGTTTACCAGCTCAAAAACCAATAAATACACATGCTTCAGAAAATTCAAAATAGTCTATTTCTAAACATAAAGGAAGCCAGAACAAGAAAGCCTCCCAGAACAAGAAAACTATTTTAGCACTCTAAAACATTACTACCAATGCATATACTTTTCCACTGTTATTCATTGCACATATAATCCAGTCCATCACCATTTACCAATACACTTAAAAATTAAACACATTTAATAAACCAACAGTATTTTCCTTCTAACTCTGTATCGGGAGACAGCAAGAAAAAAAAAGTGGTTATCAATTCAATAAAGTGCTTCCATTACAAGAGACCTAAGTTTGAACCATCACCCAAAGGTCTAAAACATAACAATGCACACATACAGATGTTTCTGTCAAAAACTAATAGAAACAATTAGCCAGACTGCTACCTGGCAATTATTCCCAACTTATAGCTTAACATTAAGCGGTGACTCTATAAAGTAATAAAATATGAAGACTTTTTTGGTTCACGCCTGTAATCCCAATATTGCAGGAGGATAGCTTGAGCAGAGGAGCTCAAGACCCACCCATGCAATATAGATAGTGAGACCTCAGCTCTACAAAAAAATAAGCAGAGTGTGGTGGTGTAATCTTGTAGTCTGAGCTACTCAGGAGGAGGGTGAGATGAGAGGATTGCTTGAGCCCAGGAAGCAGAGACTGTAGTGAGCTACGCTTGCATCACTGCACTCCAAGCCTAGGAGTTAGACCAAGATCCTGGCTCAAAAACAAAAAAAAACAACTTACCGATCAACTGAAAATTCGCCTCCTTCACCCTTTTCTTCAATTGGCTTTTCAAATCTTCGTTCACGAGGTGGTCGCCTTTCTGGTCGTCTATCAATTATTTTCCCTTCACCCTGAAGTTGTTGATCAGGTCTTCTTCCAACTCGTCTTATTCCTAAAAGGATAGATAACGTGCATAAGCAAACTATTTTTGCAATACGAAAAGTATAGGCCTGGACTGTCAAAAGCTGCTTCTCTTCCAATCCACTACCATTTCCTGTTGGAAAAAAGTAAACACTGGGCAACTCTAACGTGTAACAAAGTACCTTAGGGAAACTGCCATTTAAAGACAATAAACCTTCCAATCCATACCACGGACCAAATACATAAATAAATAAAATACAGACAATAAACTTATTTTAAACATCTATTTAGTTTGCCAAGTTATTCTCCCCCTCATAAGCATTTTCTATAACTGACTTGGAAATCATTTGGGCAACCATTATTCCCGTCGCTTTTCAAGATATCAGTCTCTTAATAAAAAGTTTTAAACTTAAAAAATGTTAGGCAAGTGATACATTTTGGCTTTTAAAATACCAAAGAAAATACCAGCAGCCATTCATAATAACCAAGCAAATCAACACACTCACTAGATATGGCCCCTTACAAAAGTGAGGGCCACATTTTGTTATCCTATCTAATCTGAAAAAACTAAAAAGCAATTAAGACTCATAATTCTATGGAATCACAAATCTGAAAGGAAAATATGGCATTTAGGATTAGAGAACATCACCTCAGTTTAAAACAGCCATTTAACCAGAAAGTGTCATCTTATAGTCTCCTTAACTGCAGGCACACAAAAAGGGCCATCTTCCCCTATTAAATAGTTTAAAAATTTATAGCATGTAAGTGTATATATGTTTGTACCCACTCCCACATCTCTAAGTACTTCCAAGTTAGGAAACAGTTACTTATTATGCATGGAGACAGTCCTCTAAAAAATTTGCCCTTACTACTATCTTTATTATCAAATAATCTTTAAAAAACAAATCCACACACATAAGACCCCTTTTAAGCAATATGTAAGAAATAAGAAACTTGTGACACTAAGTGATAGCTGAAGCATTTACTAATTTCCCCCTTTACTGCTTTTCCTGTAATGTTTGAAACCCCACAAAGGTAACCAATTTAAATTATTGGTGCCCTTAAGGATCAACAGATGGATGATTAAATTAATGACTTTAAGATTGTTGGTATGCTCTAATTCCCAATTTCTGACAAAGTCATAAAGCAGCTGAGGAATTGGTTTTACAAGATTTTAAGCTGCTTCACTTTGGTTCTAAGAAAGTAGAACACCATCAGGACACACCCAATTGTTCAATTGCCTGTAACTAGAGCCAAACAGTAACTATCAGTCTCTTCAACAGAATTTTGCAGTTCATTCCCTGCAAATACAAGATAGACTACAAATGTTAGACCTTACACCAAGGTATTTAAATAAATGTCATCAGTAAAAAAGTGTACTGGGGTGGAGTTAAGGAGCCAGTCCTTGCAATAATATCCAAGCCACACACACCCAAGTGAACAATAGTTGGCGTCCCCACCCAATATCAATATTAAGCTTACAGAATCTTAGAAACTTAGATTAAACTCACCTAATGAAAAAGACTGACATTTAAAAATGCAAGCTTCTTTTGATATACTTACGTATAACCTGCAAGCTCATTAACTGCACTAGTTTCAGGCATCCATTCTGTTTTAGAAAATCCCTGGTCTACACTCTCAATGACATTCTGCTATCAGTTCTCAAGTTCTTCAAATGGGCAAGAGAAGCTACAAAATTAATTCATAAAACATAAACATTAAATATCTGTCTAAAGTATGTCAAGCATTATGTCACAATGTGTTGTCAAAACCACAGAACACAACCAGGTTAACGTTCCTACTATCTGCAGGGATTTTGTTTACAGATTTATTCCCAGTAAATAGAGGACAGTAGAATCTCAAAACGGGTATTGTCCATTCAACACTTTTCCTGTATTTACATGCTTGTATTTTATGCAACTTAGTAAGAATGCTCTGAAATACTGACCTAAGGAAAATGTTGATTGCTAATATGGAATAGTTTTCCCATGGAAAGACTTATTGAATGGTGAACTTAAGTCTTAGTTCTAACTTCATGAAATCATTCCCCACATTCGTCACTTAAAATACTTTTCAGGTAAGAGCTTATTTCTTAGATGGGCTTCATGATCAAAATAACTCAGGCATTTAAATATGCTTCATGTTTTGAACATTCAAAATGAGTGAACACATCTACCTGGTACACATTACTCGTCAGACTCAACTTTTTTGTGTACTTTCTTAAGCTTAAGCATAGTTTAAATAATTACACAAGTCAGCGTTACTTAACACACGAATTAAATGATTTATTTAGGTGTGTTAGATTGCCATAAAGCTTAATTGGCTGAAGAGATACTTGGCCTAAGTGATGTATATGCTTTCTAATACTCCAACTGTGTTTCTCCTCAACCTATAATTTTACAACAAGAATTAACTATTTTCTTTCATTCACCACCTAGGACCGAGGTTCTTCATTCTAAGCCTCATAAAAGTCCTCAAAAAAAAAAAAAAAAAAACACAAAAAACAATAAACCTCCTAAAACAAATCCTACCACGAGGAAATTGTTTTGATTTTCAAAATTAGTTGAATGTCACAGAAGTCAACAAAAGCTAATGAGAACTCCTTTCAGAGAAGCACGTGGCAGGAAGGGGCAATTTCAACTTTCAACATATAAATACAGCTTTAAAGATTCAGACCTTAGGTCCGACACCTGCTTGCTATTGATCATGCACTTTCTTATCTTCGAACTACTTGCTCTTTTTCATCCGTAACAAACTGGTAATGAGAGTGCAAAAATCAAGACAATCCTGTGAAACTCACAGTGCCCTGGAAGCAACTATTAACCGCCTGTGAAACTCTGACCATGCTTCACGCACATGTGGAGGGGGAAAAAAAAGCTGCAGACTCTAAAGAGCTCTGCTGCGACTAACGCTGTGACAGCCTCTGCACTCACTTTACCCACAAGGCCCAGACTCCACCATGTGAAAGACTCAGTTTGGGGAGTCGAGAGAGAGGATCGTGACTCGAGGACTTTCCTCGGGACGTCCTGCGATCACCAGTCTTCATTCATAATTCCCGCTTCTGCTTAGTCGAGTGTGGCCAAACTCCTCCATTTCCCAACAGCTCAACTCACCCCAGCAAGTTCTGAGAAAGTCCTAACAGTTGAGAGGTGGAGGAGAAACAATAAAGCACACGCGGCACCCCAACCTGCAGCTGACTCCACATGTCCGATGGCCTGGAACGACCCCCTGCTTTTCGGCGGGGATACTCCGCGCCGTCGTGGGACAAGATGGCAGGACAGGAGCCTGAAACAACAGCACCTCAAAGGAGCAGCTCTGCGCAGTAAGCAGCGATGGACCCCAAGCCCCTCCGTAACTACTGCAAGCGTCGGTGAGCGGCCGGCTTCCCCGCACCTCAGTCCATGCGCTCGCCCGCCAAGGAATCCGGCGGGAAGGCAACAGCCTCCCAGGACCCCGAGCGCGCTCGAGGAGCAGCTCATCTCCGACCACGCTCCTCTGCTCACAACCTAAGGCGGGAAGGGGGTGGCTCCGAGAGCCTCGCCGGCGGTGGCTTGAACTCGGGGCTACCACGCTCCTGGCACCTTCGCAGGACCTGGCTTTTGTCGCGTGAAGAAACGTGAGGAAATAGGCGGCAAAGTCTCCCGCGGACCCTCGGAGCTCCAGAAACAAGTGGCAGGCGGCAGCCCTCTCGCTGCTTCCCTCCATCCCAGTCTCCCCCACATTCTGCCCCTGCTTTACCTTCTTTCTTAAGCGCCACGGGCGGCTGCGTCTCCTCTTTCTTGTCAACCACGCCAACGCTGGGGGGCAGCGGGTTTTTGCGGTCTTTCTGGGACTCCTTGCGCAGCTGTTTGCCTGCCGCGTTGGAGTTGGTCTGGGCCGCGGCCTGAGCTGCGCTCTTGGCCCCGGGGCCCCCAACGCCGCCCCCGCCGGCTTCTTTTTTCTTGTTCTCCGCTGCCTTCAGCACCTCGAAGGGGTCCGATTCGTCGTCAAATAACTGGTCGAATCGGTTGGTGACCACGCAGCCGAAGCCTTCCTGTAAGTGCCCAGGCATGATGGTGGCTCGGCGGCGCGTTCCTCCACGGATTGCAGCGGGCCGCGCCGAGCCAAGAGCGCCTGCTTCAGCTCTTCCCACAAGATGGCCGGGCCGAGAGAGGGGGGCCGTCTTCTCTTCCGGCGCCAGGCACACATCCGGGAGCGGCCAGCGCCGCAAGGCACTGTGGGTTGTGTAGGCCAGAGTCGTTTCTCCTGAGGCGAGTCCCTGCGTTGGGACTACAATTCCCAGGATGCACCGCGCGACAACTCTTCGCGCGCGCCCGAGAGGCGGGACCCCAAGAAGGGAGTGAAGCGTGCGAGCTGAAGGAGGGGAAGCGTGGTGGTGGGCGGAGTCCTGCCACCTGCTCTGGTAGCCCTTAAACTCTCTAGGTCTTCAGCTACCCTGAAACCAGAAAAACGTGACGGCGTAGCTGACTCGCGAAAGTGCTCTTTGGTTTCACTCACGCTCCTTCGGGCTCAGGCTAACTTTCCCCACCGCTCCGGGAAGGGTCAAGGTGACTCCCAGACCTTACATCTGAGACGCACAAACTTCCGGGGGAGGGGGTGTTGCTGAGGCGCCGCGCCGGCAGCGAGTAGGCTGGACCCTGCCTGTGCCAAGTCCGAGCAGCTCAGTCGCTGGATTGCCTTTCTGTCAGGCTCCACGGTGAATCGAGGCCCTTCTGTCTAATGTGAGGTGGAATACGTTTCCTCTCGCGGGGACATGAACTAGGGTAGCAGAACTAACCAAAAAGACAAGTGAAACTATCACATGGGAGCGTGGCGCGTCTTTCCCGGGCTTCTCACCGTGTGGCAGCCGGTGTCGTAGGAGTGGTTAACTCCTGACTGTGCAACGCTAAACGCGGGGCAAGCCGCCAGGAAGCACTGTTTACAGAAACGCTGTTACAATCATTCCAATTAATTGTCCTTTCGTGTCCGGCAAGTCAGGGCTTAGGTGGCTGTGGTGTTAGTCACATGCGCTCAATAAATACCATTTTAGAGCATTTCGAGTGCGTGTGTGCTAGGAGTTGCGGTGAGGGGTGGGAAATACTGAAGTCAATACTTAATAATGACAAAGCATTGATACTAGTTGAGAATATTAAAGTTCATTAAAAGAATACAGTTTGAATGCATATTTAAGCACATTTGGTGGCACCGTGTTTAAATATATCATAATTTTTAAATCCTTTTCCATTAACACAAAATAGCAAATGCATCTCTTATTTGGCAGGAGCTATGAATAACCTTGAACTCAACATTGTGTTAGGCAAATAGTTGCCTCTTTTCACAAATGCTGAAACCACTTCAGAGATGAAATGATTTACCAAATTCACACCTCTGTAAGTGCTAGTGACAGGTATTAGCCCAGCCTTCTACCTCCACTAGGAGACCGGACATCAGCTCTTTAATTCAGACTCTGCCCTGATAGAAAGCTGTCCAATGCTCAAGTTTCCGATATGATAAACATGGTTGTGTGTCAGGGTATGTAACATGGCGGAATGTAATCATCAATTTCCGAGCAGATTTTAAATCAATTCCTTAGCAGGGAAAATAGAAGACACGAGTCGTATTACATACATGTGGCAGCAAACCTCCTGGTTTTCTTATTTCTCAATCCTCCCCTACTCTTCAGAGCCACTTACTTCCCTGCTGCCTCAGTCCTACCCACCCCAACCTCAAACACACCCCCTATCTCATCCTCCCTTCCACAGGCTCTGGCTCTGTGGCACCTACCAAGACAAGGAGCTTTTGACCATACTCTTCCCACCTTTTCGAAATAGCTCAAGTGCAATGTAGAAGATCTCCACAGTTTGACAGATCCTCTCTTCACGGGCTGTTGCATCTTTGAGACTATCTGCATCTTTGAGACATCTGTGAAAGTTCCTCTTCTTACCTCTTTCTGGCAACGGCCACAGTAACGATATTCATAGCCAAAATGTGATGTTTTAGTATGTGCTTGGCGCACTTTACGTATGTGATCTCCTTTAAACCTTACATCAGCTCTATAAGAAAGTTATTACTCCATACCCCCCCCCCAATAAAAGGTTATTACTTCTGTTTTAAGATGAAGAAAATGAAAACAAAGAGCTTAAGTAAGTTAACTACTCCTGCCACAATCTGGGGGCTGGAGCAGGCCTGTTGTTAGTCATTTTTTTCCTCCATTACAGTTTTCTGGTTTGTTCAGACAGATCTTCGTGACCACCAAGCATTATTACAATAAGAATATTTGAAAATAAGCTACACTTAGAGAAATTTTCAGCTATGAATTTATGAGGTTCATTTATGCTCCTCAGAGAATTTACCTATTAAGATTACATAAAAAATGTTATGAATAAGCATTTGAAGAAAAGGGAGAATCTTATATTTCTGAAAAGTTTTAAAGTCCATTTTTAAAGTATACAAATAAAGCTCAAGATGGTCTTTTACATCTCTCAATCGTTATTTTATAACTAGTTATTTTCAGTTTCCTTTATTCTACAAAGTTGAAATATTAATTTCTTAATATTAAATATTAAAATATCTAAAAATTCTTGCTACTCTCACTAGGAAAACATCAGCCAAATAATCCTCAAGGGAAGAGAAATTTCCCGGCAGACACTAGTATTCAAATTAAAGGCATGATTTATAAAAGCGACAAGTGTCGGACGGTATCACTGATTAGACATGTGGCCTAAAATGTCATCTCTCTGTAGCAATATTTGAATCACATCTTCTTCTCTGAAAAATACTCATGAAACTTAACAGTCTTATCTACAACAAGCCTCTCTGAAGGGTTTTCTAGCAATAAATGCTGAAAACCATGATTAAATATCCGATGTAGTTGCCTGATGTTAACGAAATGGAGAAACAATATTATATCTCCTTCCTTCCTGCCTTCATTTACTTTCAGGATGCTAATGCAGTATTCAGTTCTCAGCCACATTACAACTTGCTTTCATCCATTTCTTCATAATCTCAACCCCCTGTTATTGTCGCTATAAATAATAGTAATAATTAACAATTGCTGTACTACATTTTTTTCTACCCATGCTCAGGTGATTCTCCTGCCTCAGCATCCGGATTCGCTGGGATTACAGGCGTGTGCCACCACGCCCGGCTAACTTTTTGTATTTTTAGTGGAGACAGGGTTTCACCATGTTGGTCAGGCTGGTCTTGAACTCCTGACCTCAAGTGATCCACCCGTCTTGGCCTCCCAAAGTGTTGGAATTACAGGCATGAGCCACTGCACCGGGTCTACTTACTACCATTTGCACATTTATTACACAGTAGACACTGCTAAGTATTAAATATTAAATAGCTTACATGCATTATTTAATTTTCAGAATAACATTATGAAGTGAAAAGTAGTATTACCTCTATCCCCCTTTTATAGATAGGGAACCTGAGGTTAAGTGCCCCTCCCAAATTCACATTGACTGAAAGAGTCTGGCAGTCTGATCTTACAGCCTGGGCACCCAGTGGTAACAAGGAAGAGGAAAAAGTCCTTCATCTTTACATTGCTACCACGTGTAGCAAAATCAAACTATTCTAACAGTTTGGGGACACTGGATATAGGTATCCCATCAATGTAAATAGACTAATTTTTAGTGTATTCAATATATAATGTATTTTTAAAACAAAACCAGTAAAGGTGGTTCTTGTGAAGAAAAGGACAAATCCCCTATGTCTGAAACTGGAATGCTAAGTATAATATTGCAAGTCTAGGCTTGTGCTAAAGTTAGACTATCAGAGCTAAAAATAGAAATATTATACTCCTTTTGCCACCTCAAACTCACTTTGAAGGTTGAACTTCTTGAGTTTAAACTTCCTTTTTTTTTTCTGCGTTACCAAAAAAACAAAACAGAAACATAAGGAGAAAAATAGTTATATTGAGATACAATTCATGTGCTATATAATTCAGCCACCTAAAGGATACCAGTTAATGGTTTTTAGTATATTCACAGAGTAGTGCAGCCATTACCGCTATCTAATTTTAGAGCATTTTTATCACCCCTGAAAGAAAACTGTACCCATTAGCAGTCATTCCTCATTCCTTCTATCCCTAGCCCTAGGCAACCACTGATTTACTTTCTGTCTCATAGATTTGCCTATTTTGGACATTTCATATAAATGGAATCTTACAATGTGTGATCTTTTATAACTGGCTTCTTTCATTTATCACAATGTTTTCAAGGTTCATGCATATTGTACCATATATCACTGCTTCTTTTTTTTTTTGTAACTGAATAATATTCTACTGTATAAATAGACTAAATTTTATTTATCCATCCATCAGTTGATGGAAATTTGGGTGGTTTCCACCTTTTGTCTGTCATGGATAATACTGTTATGAATATTTGTTTGCAGGGTTTGGGTGGACATATGTTTTCGATTCTCTTGGAATGGAATTGTTGGGGTCATATGGTAACTCTACGTTTAACATTTTGAGGAACTGCCAAACTATTTTCCAAAAAGGCTGCACAATTTAATAGTCCCACCGACAATTATGTGACTTCCAAGTTCTCCAAATCCTCACTAATGTTTGTTATTGTCTGTCTTTTTTATTATAACCATTCTACCAGGTGTGAAGTGGTTCTCCTTGTGGTTTTTTTATTGCGTTCCCCTAATGGCTAATGATGTTGGGCATCTTTTTACATGTTTAGTAGCCATTTTTGTATCTTCTTTGGCGAAGTGTCTGTTCAGATCCTTTACCTTTTTAAAAACTGGTATACTTCTCTATTTTATCATCACATTTTAAGAGTTCTGCATATATTCTAGATGCAAGTTTCTTATCAGATATACGATTTGCAAATTTTTTTTTTTCCCATTCTGGGGATTGACTTTTCACTTTCTTTTTTTTTTGTTTTTCTCTTTTTAATTCTTTTTTTCTTTTGTTTTTCCCCCATAGCCAACATCATAAGACTTTTTACTTTATTGATAATATCCTTTGGGGCATGAAAGTTTTTAATTTGATGTGATCTTTATGATAAAATCCAATTTATCTTTTTTTTTTTTTTGGTCATTTCTGCTTCTATTATCTTTTTTTGTTTTGTTTTTTTTTGTGTGTTTGTTTTTGAGATAGAGTCTCACTCTGTCACCCAGGCTGGTGTGCAGTGGCTGATGAAGGCTCACTGTAGCCTTGAACTTCTGGGATCAAGTGACCCTCCCTCCTCAGCCTCCCGAGTAGCTAGGACTACAGGTGCACGCCAGCACATCCGCCTAATTTTTTTGTGTTTTTTGTAGAGATGGGGTTTCACCATGTTGCCCAGGCTGGTTTCAAACTCCTGAGCTCAAGCGATTCGTCCACCTCAGCCTCCCAAAGTGTTGGGATTACAGCTGTGAGCCACTGCACCCAGTCCTCTATTGTCATATCTAACAAGTTTTTTCCTAATCTAAGGTCACAAAGACTTACTTCTATGTTTTCTTCTAAAAGTTTTATAGGTTTTTTATAAAATAGTTTTAGAAAAAAATAAAAATTAAAAATAGTTTTAGGCCTTACAGCTAG